ATGATTATATCTATACACTATACAGTCTTGCACATCCAACCACCCTGGACTTTGATTTTGGTTGAGGCATGGACCAACAAATAGAGCATGATGAACTGATGTATATAGTCAATGAGTACCACTCGTGTTTCACCAAAAGGCTGTTGGAACTAGGATGCCGATGATGAATGATTATTATATTATTATATTACTAGCTGCTTGTGTAATTCGATTCCGGGCATTGTGGAAGCCGCCTCCGGTGCCTTCGTGGTGGTCAAGCGAAAATAGTTTCACCAGAAATTCAAAATGAAACCGAAAACTGTGACTTTGAGTGTCTAGCGGTCTTTCCTCTTCTGGTATAATACACTTATCCTGTCGCATGCCCGGTTCTGTTTTGACTGTATAAGCAACTAGGAAATGCGAATAATTGTAATATAAAGTCTAGCTATCAATCATCACTGTATGCAAATAACTGCGGGATATGGCATCCACGTATGGCGGATTGCATGTATATATATATATATCCCGTCGCATGCAAGATGTAAGTGAAAATCGGGGGCCTGTGGCTTTGAGTGGGTACCAATAGGGTATAGACACTGTATGTAATGGCAAAATCTGGTGACTGTGGCCTTGAACACGGTCTTCAGGAGAGCGTGGCATGCATTATCACTTAAATAAATAATATCATTATTATTGTGGTGATACGGCGTAGTATCACCACTTGCAACATTGTACCAACGTTACCACCTGTCCTCTTGCTTTGTATATATTTTTCGATGTATCTGCTTTCGCGAGCAGCCGTGAGTAATATTTATGTTCCTTGCACCGACCGACCGAACTCGCGTCAGGTCCCCTTCACGTCCCGCCAGCTCGACCCGCGCGGCGCAACGGGGTGCATATCACCAAAGTGTACATGGTCTCAGCACTAGCTACAAAATAAATCATTTTCATTGGCCCGTTCAAAATATTATATTTACCACGCTTTCCGTCACCGATATTTTGATAATACGTCATAATAATAAATAATCATAGACTTTATACACATAGACGGAACAAGCTAGTAGTTCCCGCGGTAAACGGTTGCTGTGCTGCACATGTTGTTCCATACTTCTTCAACTGTAACTTTCAAAATAATGATTTGTGAGAATTTTGGAATAAGACTTTTGTGTTCAGTGCTTTAAACACACACACATTTTGGAGGGGATAAAAATCGAAAACATCGCGTGGGAACTAAACTGCATTTAAACAGACTGAAAATTTTGTTACGTTTGWCTRCTGCTTTTGGTTGTYAAAAATTGTAGAGCGATAGCTGTATTTGATTGTCTAGYTATCAGTCATCAAATCACTTARGTAGGCAATCCGACTGCGATGGATTGCGGACCCCGTTACGTGCGTAGGTATAAGTGAAGGAAGGAAATAAAGTTTATGGTCAATATATATATTATGTACCTAATAATAATGATAAAATCCGCGYGAAAACACGAAAAGTGATAGCGGTAAGAGGGAGAAAAGAGAGCGACGTCGCGAATATAGTCGTGGTGGTCAAGTGAAAATCGATTCACCGGAAATTCAAAAATTTAAGTCATACCGAAAACTGTGACTTTGWGTGTCTAACGGTCTTTCCTCATCTGGTGTAATGCCGTGTCCTGCTRCATGCCCAGTTCTTTTTTGAATGTATATACAATAAGGAAATACGAATAATTCAAATAATTKTAATCGAATGTCTAGCTATCAATCATCACTGTATGCAAATCTGTGCGGGATAGAACATCCGCGTATGGATTGGATGCATATAACGTCGCATGTCCGGTTCTTTGTGCGTGCAAAATGAATAAACGCATAACGTAAAGTATAATTGTGTGTCTAGCTTTCAGTTCTCAACCGGTAAAAATTAAT